ACCCATAGATCTTCTACATTTTCTTACAAACTTCTTGTTCCCAAGAAATGAATCGGGCCTCTCTTCAGATAATTTATAGAACACCAGTTTCCATAACAACATATTGTTCAATGAAACACAAATACCTGGTAGAGCTGCTGTTGTCATGACACGAGTGACCACAACAGTGAGTGAGGAGCCTGCGTTACAACCAAGATCGCTCCATGTCAACACGCTCAATTACAGTCTAGTGATCAAAGATCATCATTCTTTTGTGAATCACTGCAAATCATAGCATATACATGAGAACCAAAACAAGGTGGTCCTAAAGAAATATTTTTCCCCCCCGTGAAGTCACACCTAATCATTTAATGGGTGCAAAACAGTATGGTGACCAACACCACCGAAGGCAATGTTAGGACCTAATGGATGCCTATGAAGAAATGCAAACAAGAACTTGAGTGCTCAGCTTGGACTCACTCTATGTCCAGAGTCTGCCTGGAGCAAACTTTCCCCATCTACCACAAGAGCTTTTTTCCTCCTCAGTGAGATGTAGCTAAGTCAAGAAGGATCCTAGGTGCAAAGTGGCACACACATCACCTGGCCCACGGGGACCAAGAGCAAAACCAAGTCAAACTGCCAGACTGTTACCCCTAGCAATTCAAGTTGGCGTGAAACATCGGCTGCATGACTCCACAAATTCCAGAATAGTTCTATGTGTGCGCTTTGGTCTGGAGAGATGGCTATGGCATTCGTCCAAACTGCACACCTGAAACAGTGACTAAAAGCTACAGCAAGATATATTTATATCCCTAACTCACAGATGCCTTGGCACGATGCTCGTATGTGCCATGTAACAAGTTCAATCCATTATCCTATTCTTTTCCCTTTGCATCCCTTGTTCCTCACAGCTTGGCAGTGGAGTGAGCACAGCCAGGTGTCAGCTCTGTCCTTAGGCAGTACTGAGTCACTCAGGCCATGTTTTTGTACCCTTAAGCAAACAAGATTTTTTTCTTCCAACTTCAGCGTTATGAGTCACTTTGGTGTCAGTATTTTTTCTGCTCTTAATGACGTTATGTTGATAACCATGGGAAACAAGCTTGCTGGGAACTCTTTGGGGACCTGACATCTTGGGAAGAATCAGGATGGTCTAACATGGCTAACACCCATAACAGCTTCCTCCTCCCTTCCGTTAAACCAGAAATTTCCATCCTCTTCCCCCTTGCCAATCCCCACCAATCACTTTCCCATCTTGTATTTCCCATCCCTGGCACTGGGGAGAACCTGGGCACGTACAGACCACATAGCTTTGGATGTTAGGGAAGCAAAGAGGAAGAAAGGTTGCACAGGAGTGCTATCTCTGGCTTTGCAGTTCTGACCTGCTTTGAAAGCAAGACACGTATCGCTTTTAATTATTCATCTGGGCAACTGCAACCTCTGAGCAAACTCTCCTTGCCTGCCTGTGCCTCTTGCTGCCCATCTGACAGCAGCAGGAGGTTGAGCAACATGGAAGACACCTCAGCATGCATGGATGTAGAACACCAAAATAACTTCAAACCTTTGTCAGAAAGCACAGCAAAGCAAAGAGGAAAAAAAAAAAAAAAAACCACCAAGAAATTAATCACTCAGATATGAGAGAGAATGGCAAAGTAAACCTTAGAACGTGTGCCATCCTCCCTGCAAAACTGTCAGCCCCCAGCAGGAAGACTAAAGATGCTAATGGAAATTCCTCTCCCGTCACAGAGAGCTGTAAAAGCATAGGACAGCAGTCTGCTTTCCTGTAACATGTCTCTCAGTCTCCTTCCTCTAAATAAGAAAGGATGATTGCCTGCAGCACTCCATTTCTGCCTGCTGCCCTCCCAGCCCAAGTGGAAGCACTCAGGTCTTTATTGGATTTGTAGCCATTCAGATGTGCTCAAAATGATCTGTCCTGCTTCACCCGCACCGCGCAGTTCAGTGCATGCCAGCATTAACTGGTGTGACCATAAGAGATCCAGACCCTCTGTTACACCTCCTTTGTGAAGAGACCCAACAGTGGAATCCCTGGAAGGCAGCGTTCATTTCAAAGCACCACTTCTAACAGTGCACTTGACACTGGGCTTGAAGAGCCTGCGCAGCTTTGAGCTCACCTCTCCTTGACCCTCTGGGGAGGACAACACACACAGCTCTATCTGCTGCTTAAATTGGATTGCCTGTTTCAGTATCTCAATCCTTTCAGAACCCATCCAACAGAGCAAATTGCCCTGAGTGGCTCCTTTAGATGAGTTCTCCAGCCTTCCCATGGCTTATTTTCTGAGCTGGGTTATCACAAGTTGGGGAAAAACAGGAAGGGGAAACTACTGAAGAATAAAGTGCTGCCCTGTAGCAATCAGAAAGATCAACACAGAGAACAGCAGCACAGGAGGTGTAATAACAAAGGGCCAGTGTAAATGGAAAGGTGCTCACCCATCTCCAAAGATCCAGGTTCACAGCGAAAACACCACAAGGGAGAGATCTCCAACCACAGAACCTGCCCTAGTGGCAGCCAGCCCTTAAATGAGGTCTAAGAGAGGTGCAGCCAGGCTCCATCCCTTCCTATCACACAGCTGAATTGCCTTCACCTGTGCTCCCAGAGCTGACCAGGTCCTTTTCCCAGGTGCTCCATCAGTGCTTCAGGTCAGGACTCAACAGTTCCCATACATGTCCCTTATCCCTGTCCAAGTCAAACTAACTTTTGCTACTTGCTCCTTTTCTACAGTTTCTCACCTGAGCAGGAAAAAATTGATCACTTCTCCTATAAACAATCTTACACCACTCTCTTATATGAATATGTTATTTTCACCCTCATTTCCCAATGCCACCATGAAAGCATACATCCTGGATGAGATCCATGCATACTTGTGATGTGATCACACCACTTGATCTCAATTCTCTGCGTGCTTGAATCAATCAGAGTTCTCTCAAAATGGTCTGTGTAATCATCAGCCCTTTTTGTTGTTGTTGGCTGTGGTTCTCCAAGGACACATCTGAGCCCATCTAGGGGAAGAGAAGCAGCAACAGCAATCAGTTGCCTATGGACAGAGACGCAGTGCCATATGTGCAAAACATAGCACTGATTTACATCTCCTCCATCAAGCAATAGCATTTTCTCCTTCCCATCCAAACAGATGCAGCTCTGGGGTTTGTTTCAGGCTTTGTTTGAGGGATTAAAATCATCTCAATCTAATCTCTTTTCGTTTTATACACCGAAAGAAGAATTAGAGATGAACACTGTGGCCACAATGGATTTCATTAATCACACCAGGCTTGGTTTGCTGTAGTAGGCACTTCCAGCAGAAGGTGCTCACAATCAGTTTAATCATTAATCTCCCTCCTCTGTCTAAACAGTGATGAACAAATCTGTGACAGCCTGGTTCCTGCATCAGGGCAGAGGCTTCTTGTAAAAGCAGCAGTGCTGTTGGAGCCATCTCCCCTTATGGCAAATCCCACTTTTTTGGCCACATAGACCCCAGCTGATTGCAAGGACAAAAGGCCTGGAAAAATTGGTGCCTGGGGAATTGGTAGGAGATAAAGGAGGAATCGCTTCTGGGTCACCAGTGCAAAAGAAATCAGGGTCCTAATGGTCAACAGTTGCCACTGTAGGACGGGTGCTGGCAGGAGCATGGCACGAGGCACTGCATCTCCAATGGGTTTCAGTAGAGCAGGTGTTTGTATCACAAAAACATCACTGCCAGGACAGGGGCCACCTATCAACAAGTCCTCCTAGCTGGGTTGGGTTCCTGGGGCACATCCCCAACAAAAACCACACCAGATGGCCGGAGAGAAATGTGCATTGCCACAATTCATGTTCTGACCATTGTGAATAATCAGCAGCTCTTCGGTGCCTCGGCTCTGTCACAGGGCAGCAGCCAGCCATGCCAGAAAGCTGCATCAGCCATCAGCTGTCCCAGCCAAAAAGCTGCTGGGGTGTGATGTGCTGGGGCAGCTGCACAGGGTTATACACAGTTTAATTGAGCTGTCTGTAGGAGAACAAACTCCATGGAAGCAGAGTCTAGAGATGAAAGCTATAAATCCGACGTTTATTTCTGCAGGCTTCTGGAAGTCCAAAGCACAAGTTTTGTTTAAAATGCTTCTGTATCAGTCACTTGCTTTGAAATTAAAGCACCATGAGAAAGCGAGGAAGCACCATCTGAGCTGATGTGATGGCACACCCGGCTGCACTGCGTCCTGATCTAAAGGGGCATAAAGCCAAATAAATAAATAATAATAATAATAAAGAAAGAAGCATTTCCACGGACTGTGATCACCTGGAAATCCTGCCCCTGGTAAAGGCTCTTCCCAGAGACAGAAGTGCCATGAGGAAATTGACTACAACTCCCAACATTCACTGAAGCCGCTGTTAAGACAAACGTTATCCGGGAACATCCAAAACAATCAGAAAACGAAAGCAAGCCCCAGTGGCTGCTGGAAGCTGTAGTCAGCTCTCCAGGTGCGAACTACGGAGTAAAAAGGTATTGAGAGCCGCCCTCCTCCCCAGCAGAGCCCAGCCGGGGTCTGAAGGAGAGGGCAGTCAGCAAGAACGAAGCGCTATGCCCCGTCAGAGT